CATCAATCAATGAAAATCGATATATAGTCCATACTTCAATTTACAATATTGGCAAGTCCAATTTCACTTGGCATATTTAACTCATATAGAAAAACCAGTTGGAATCGGCAAAATTATCTTTAATTCCATACATAAGAAAAAAAAATTATAAAGTTCTTCAATAATAGCAAACTAATAGTTTAAATAGATTTACAAGTATCGCCCATCTACTTTTGATATAATTCACATATTAAATGTAGAAAACTGGTTTAAAATAAATATTTCAAAAGTTCGAAAACGATTTATGAAAAAATAACGTGATGACATTTACTAAATTTGCTCTGTATTAAAGTATCGATGATAGAAAGAGCATATTTTGTAAATATTTCAAAAATATTTAAAAGTCGGAGAAATTGTATTGTAATGTACTATAATTATGTTACAAATCCGATTGAATACTAATCCTTCGCTATTAAAGTTGTTTTGAGAAGGATATTCTCTAAATTCTTGATAAATCTTTAAAATCTAGAGTAATCGTTTTGTAAACTTAACAAAACTAAAATGTATACCAATAGATTGGCATTTTCTACGTTTTCAAAGTGAGAGAGTGTAAATTCTTTTTTTTATCCTATTAAGGTTTTTAAAAAATTTAATTAACTTAATTTATATGATCTGAAATATATGACAAGTTAATATGGAGAATTCTTTCAACCCAATTTCAATTTATTGAATTTTCTATTCGAATTCAAAAATTTTCCCAAGAAGAAAAAATAATTAGGAAATTTAATATGTTAATACATAAAATATTTTATTTATTCAAAGAATTCAATTTTCTATTGGATCAAAAAACTTGTGTTAAAGTTCGTATTTTAAGATAACTATACTTTTAGAAGCTGTTTTTATTTTTTTCACCGGGATTTTATTAATTTAATTCTTTCAAAATTTGAATCTTATTGTATATCACCGGACTATGATCATAATAGAGTTGCAATCTCTAATTATAGCCACATTAGTACTCGTGGGTCGATATATCATGGGAGATACAAAATTATTTGAATTTTCTTTTATTTTTTTAAAAAATATTAAAAAAAGTAAATAAATAACTAACAACACAGCATCACTTTTCGTAAAATGCTTTAATCCTAGTCCTTTTTCCCCTTAATTTTTCAATCTCTCCCAGGTTGAAATTTATTCCGGGAATTTTTAAAGATGCTTGGTCAACATAAAATTTCATTAAATCTTCCACAGGAGTCATAAACTCTGAACATTTGAAGCGAGCATGAACTGCATCATTCAAATTTTTAAGAAGATTTTTGTTCGAAAAGTGATTCAATACGGCGATTACATGAATACAAGGTAATCCGTATAATTCGATGTGCTTACATGTGCATGAATATTGTGAATCTGACATAATTTTTACGCAATATGTATAGCGACCAAAAGTTGCATAATATAATTCTTGAATTGGATCATATAATACCGAGCTAAACATATCTGAATGTTTCAAAGTTTCATTTAGATTTTTGATAATATTATCTGATTTAAAATCACCTGTTAAAACATTTTTAACAAGATTGAATTCATGTTCAATGAGACGGATAATTAGTTCGGCGGGTTCATATGTATCCCATTTATCTTTATTTCGGCATTAAGGGATTCAATAAGAGATGTTGTGAGTATGCCAGCGGTGTAGTCATCGAATCCTTCAAATGGGTTAATACTATCTAAGTACTTAAAGAGATCTCTGATTATTTTCGCGGTTTGGATATTCCTCTTGTAAACGAGTTTCTAACTTTTTAATCAAGTCAATTCGTTTTTGAGGATGGTCTGCGTAAGCGACTTCAACAATTTCGGAATAGACATTGATGTATTCCCTTTTTGTTGCAAAATGACGTAAGCAAAATTTATGATCGCAAGAAAAGCCTGATTCTCTAACAGCAGCTATAATTGCCGGACCTTGATCGGAATAAATATTCTTGAATCTGCTTGGTGGAATAAAAGATTTCAATTTAGTGAGCATATCCTTAATTGTTATCGTATTTTCACTAACAGACCATGCAAATGCAATAGGGATAAGTCTATTATTTGGTGCAGGTGTACCAATAATGAGTAAGTTTCCTTTTTTAATACAAAATAAAAACGTTCCATCAATTTGAATTATTCCGCAAAAAGCTTGTGTTTGCATGTAAAAATGAGTTATTAGTTAGTATCCCTAAGTCGTGTACGGAGGCACTGCGTTCCTCCGTATGCAATACTTGTGAATTTGACACTTTACAAAACCGTTAACGTATATTTTACAACACAAACGACAACACCAACTTAACCTTAAATATTTATAAAGCCGCCAACCACTTCACCTTACTACTGTAAAAATAAACGTTCTCACTTACAAAAGTATTGCAACTCTTCCCATTGCTGTGCTTCACACAATAGTTCATATTCTTCAGTATCGCTGCTGTCGCTCCAATCGTCAGAGTCAAAGTCACTGTCAAAATAAATGTTAGTAAGTTTTGACAAAGCTAATGAAACACGTTTACCGTTTGTATCGTATGCTTGTATAAACTTCCATTCTTCATTCCTTCATAAACGCTCAAACTAACTTTACCCTTTCTCCCTCGTATCTGATAGAATGTATTTTCACGAGGAACGAAGAACAAATTCTTGAACTCATGACCGTTGTAGTTTGTTATCTCAATAGTTTTCGTCATTTACATAAAAATAAATAAAAATAAATAAAAAATAAACTTAAAAATTAATGATATCACCACCCTCACACGTTGAAAACATAGCACAAAAATAAATTTAGGTGAAGTGGTGAGATCTCACCTCTTTTTTCACCTCTTTTTTCACCCACTTGAATTCATTGCTTTATAAACTCTCTTCCTTTCTCCAACTCTTCTAACTTCTTCTTAAGTTCAGCAATGTTGTCCTCATGAAGTTTAATCTTCCTTAATATACCTTCTCTATCTAATGGTTGCTTTATCTTTCTAAACTGAACTCTACCATCCTTCATAGTATGAATGTAAAAACCTTCTGGAATAGTTCCTGATTTAATGTATTCTACCAAAAACTTTTGTTTCATTGCTTCAGTGACTTTAGTCGTCATTTTACTCTAAGGTGAAGCTAGCACAGCGATAATGGATTTCATGACTTTTTAGTATTTCATGCAATCTTAACAGATAGCCTTATAAGTACTTCCAGTGTCCTAGCTGTCCCTCCTTTTTATATAACTCCATGACATTTATAATCTCGCGAAACTTAACAGGTAGCATAACAGATTAAAATCAGATGAGGTTTTGAACCAAAATTTCTAAGCAACGTTGTCAAGGATTTTGAGGAACTAGGGACAGAGTGTGGCAAAGTCCAAGATTTAATTTATCTTCATCTGTTTCATCAGCTATCTCATCTAATATGCCAATATTTTATTCATAACTCGTGGCAAACTCACTAACTTTCATTATGTTCATCTGCATGCTTCATCTGATAGAAAGTATGACTTTCATTAACTCTGTGAGATAATGAAAACTACTAGGGACAGAGACCATGGCAAAGTTTATGATTTTCATTATTTCCGGAACTTAATGAAAACTACTAGGGACAGAGACCATGGCAAAGTTCATGATTTAATTTATTCTCTCACTAACAACAAACACAAACTCCAACACTAACATCAAGTACTAACCTCAGCACAAATGACAAACACTAACAACAAACACAAACTCCAACACTAACGACAAGTACTAACCTCAGCACAAATGACAAACGCTAACAACAAACACAAACTCCAACACTAACATCAAGTACTAACCTCAGCACAAATGACAAACACTAACAACAAACACAAACTCCAACACTAACGACAAAAATAAATGTCCTCACTTCTTAACAAAGTAATATGTGCTTCTTACACCACCATAGCTCAAACGTTTCTTTTCAAACATCGATTGAAACTTATTTTGAGCCATTGGCTTTAGTCTCTTTTTCTTCAAATACGCCAAGAAATCTTCTTCACATCTTTTCACTTCATAGCCTTCTTTAAACTCCTCCTTGTTAAGTTCTATGAAATCCTTTATCTCATTCTTTGTTGCAATGGCTTCTTCACGAACGACATCGTGAACTATTTCATCATTGCATTCATGAACGACCTCCTCACTGTTCTCATGAACTATTTCAACACTGTTCTCATGTATGACCTCCTCATTGCATTCATGTATGACCTCCTTACTGTTCTCATGAACTATTTCATCACTGTTCTCATGAACGACCTCCTCACTGTTCTCATGAACTATTTCATCACTGTTCTCATGTATGACCTCCTCACTGTTCTCATGAACGACCTCCTTACTGTTCTCATGAACTATTTCAACACTGTTCTCATGTATGACCTCCTTACTGTTCTCATGAACTATTTCAACACTGTTCTCATGTATGACCTCCTCACTGTCTTTCATAAGCGTTTCAAAGTCTCCTTTACTCATTACTTCAATCTCATGCTGTTCACAGTAGTACTTAAACTCACTGTATATGTCTTTGTTGTATGTTATATTGCTTCCCATGTACTCCATGAATTTTTCAAGCACTTCCTCATAATTCACTGTTTATTTCTTTCCATGACCTTCTAATATCATACTTGCTTCGTAAATATAACTTCTTGCAGAACCGTCTCGCTTTCTACTTCTCTTCACAAATTCTCTCATCTTGCCACCAAATACATTTGAACTACATGCAAAGAATTCATTCTCCTTCGCAAATTCTTTATATCTTCTGTAGCACTCTGTACAATTCCATCCGGATACAAACTTTTCATAGAACTCCTCGTAAAACATTTGGTAAGGTGTTTTGTTCATTTCGATGAGTTCTTGTTTAGCCCTGGTGAATGGTATCTTCCTTACATCAAATTCACTTAAATCTTTCTTCATGAAGTACGTCAGTAAGTTTGAATAAAACTCTTCATTAAAGCTTTCAATGAGATTTGAGAAATATTCGTAATTTCCTTTGTATCTGCTGCTTACGTCAATGACAACAAATCTTCTGTCGTCTTTGTCAATCTTTACTGAGTTGAAGTTGTTAGATATCATGATGATATTACAAACATTCTCTATCTTTCTTACTGGCTGACACTTCTGATTTAAGTCCAACTGAGTCTCTGTTACTATTGACTTTAGTGCGTCGTGGTTCATGACCTTAGACGTATCGCATGAGCTTAGTTCATTGCATACGATGAGCTTCATGTTCTCAATAGCAGCATTGAATCTACCAACCACATTCTCTATTGCCGTTATATTATTGTTGGCGTACTTGCTAATGAGCTCGCATAGAACATTACTAAGTACATTCTTACCAGTTCCTTGCTTTCCTATTAACAAAAGTACTGTTCCAGTCTTTCCACAAGGATTTTGAACGATGTAGGCGAACCAGTTCAAAACATACTCATAAAGCTCTTCATCCTCATTACATATGACATCGTGAACATGTTTCAAATATCCTTCAATAATGCTTTCATCTACTTCATTCAGTACCTCATACTCATATCCTCTGAAATAGCTGTAAATGTCATCTCTTTCGTCAAAGAATCTCATGCCTGACTTCATAAGATAGTTCTTGTTCTGACCCGCTTCATAAATCATCAGTGCGTTCACATCCTTCTCTTCAATACGTCCTACGTAAACACTCCTCATGAGCTTATTGAATTCCTTGCTATCTACTGACACAAGTGTTGTTGTGTCTCGTATTCCATCATAATCTTTCACTAGATATGTCATACATGCTCCGTCAATAACGACAACACATCTTCTTAAGTCATTTATAACACTAGCTATGTCAATACCGTCCTCACTCATGTACTTATTTCTTCTCAAGTCCTTTAGTGTGAAAGTGTCTCTAAGTTCTATTTCAAGCAATTCATTTACACATCCTTTGCAATACTTCTCTATAAAATATTTCTGTCGTTCTTTACTAAGTTTCTTAACAGCTCTGAAGAACCATGTGTTTTGACTCAAACATCCTTCACAACTTCTCTCATTCATTCCTAGTTCTTTCATGTCATTATCTTCAACCTCTATGGTCTCATTGACTAAGGTCAAAGGGTTCTTAGTCATTGCTGGTCTTATCTGAAACAATGTTTGTGCAACAGGTTTAACTAGTTCAGCAACGTCCTTCCTTAATATGAATAGCTGTTTCCACTCATCTTTGCTAACAGTTCTTTCATAACCACTGACAGTAATGATTTCATTTGCTGACCTTAGACACTTATGTTCTATCATTTGTATTGCTTTTGTGTAAGGCTTTCGTGAGCATAGGTTGTATATGTCATTCCTGCAATGTTCATTCATGCCAATAGTACTAAATCCTTTCTTTGCTGTTGAGTGCATAATATCCATTAGTTCCTGTGTTCGTATTGCTGTCTCATAAAATACAACAAGACCTTTGTCATCTATGACGTACTTACCGAAAACATTGCTTATATTCTTTAACCATGAAATAACATCCTCATTCATGCTGTCAAACATGAAGTAAGGTCTTACATACTCTTCACTTATAAGATACTCCACAAAATACTTGTTAAGCTCTATGTCCTCGTGAGCGATTTCATTAGGTTTGATATTAGTTCCTTTTGTCATTGCTGTCATGTACTTCACTCTCATAGTTCCTTTCAATAGCATAAAAATACTTCATTGTTTCATAACTGCTCTAAATTCTGTTCAAAATTCGTACAACATAACTTTTTAACATTAGTGAAAGAACATGAGCGAAACAACAACATCTAACATTACAGAAGAAGTCAATGACAATGCCGATGAAAACATTACAGAAGGAGCTAGTGAAAATATTGACGAGTTCAGTGGAGGAAGAAAATATTGAGGACGTCAATGAGAACGTTAGTGGGGAACAAACTCAATGGGAAACATTGAGAATCATGAAGATTATGAGATTTGTACGACATATCCTTTTACTAATTCGTCGAAAGAAAAACAAACATATTAAGTGAATGCTTAAATAATCATGGTTATATTGAGCTTAGTTTAAACAACAAAATGTACTTAAAGCATAGAATTATTGCAGAACAGTGGATTGAAAATCCAAACAATTTGAAAGAAATAGACCATATAAATCATGATAGAACGGACAACAGAATCTCAAACCTTCGTTGGTGTTCTAGATCTGAAAACAATAGAAATAAAAGCAAGTATGGCGATATAGTTTATGAGTTCGTTGATGAAATATCTGACGAAGCTGTTGAAATAACCGCTTATGGTAAGCATTCGTTTGAGTTCTACTACTATGTTGAGAATGAGGACGCATTCTATTATTATACAGGTCTTAACTATCGAAAACTTCATATAAACTTTACAAAAACAGGTGCTGCTTATGTTTGTATGATAGATACAGAAAACAAGAGTGTAATTTTATTCATAAACAAATTCAAACGCTTGTACGGCTTCATGTAGGACAAACATTATTTTTCAACACTAACGCCAACACGTAGGACAAACATTCATGACTAACATTACTGTATAACATAAATAATTTGTCATGATTTAATCGTAAATGTTTTGTCAAGACTTCTTCATCGTAATGAGCGTAAATGATCCAAAAATATATTTTAGGTGAAGAGGTGAGAACTCACCTCTTTTCTCACCTCTTTTCTCACCCTCAGCCGCTAAGCGGCGAGACCCAAAGGGTCTTGAATTTTCATGACTCTTCATCGTAAATGTTTTGTCAAGACTTCTTCATCGTAATGAGCGTATATGTTTTTGTCAAGACTTCTTCATCGTATATGTTTTTGTCATGATTTAATCGTATATGTTTTGTCATGATTTCATCGTATATGTTTTGTCATGATTTAATCGTATATGTTTTGTCATGACTTCTTCGTAATGAACGTACATTTTTGTCAAGACTTCTTCGTATATGTTTTGTCATGATTTAATCGTACATGTTTTGTCAAGACTTCTTCATCGTAATGAGCGTAAATGTTTTGTGAAGAATATAACAACCGCCTGAATTCAGACGGTTGCTTTTTATACAAAATTCACACAGGAAAATTCTTGAGTTTTGGTTGAAAGAATACGGTCAAGCCAAAAGTGGCTCGACCTCAAAAACAAACATTTTATGAGCTTACTAAGGAACTTATGAATGAATTCAAAGGTATTTGCATACATCCTGACCTCGTTCATTTTGTTGCTGAATGGTGCTCTGTAAAGTATGCATTTTATGTCAAAGATATTATGGACTCCATAGATAAGAAAGTTCATGAGAAGTTAGATGAAGAAGAACTCGAAGATACAGTAGAGAATGCAAAAACAAGCATTTTATGAAGCTTACTAAGGCATTTATGAATGAATTCAAAGGTATTTGCATACATCCTGACCTCGTTCATTTTGTTGCTGAATTCAGCAAAAATAATGTTTACGTTAATGTTTTCACTGTCACTACGTCACCATGTCACCAGGTTAATTAACTTCTCTTAAAATTACTTGACAACATGACATTTAGACAACAGTCCAGGAAATATATTTTATCGTATATGTTTGTCATGATTTTATCGTTTATGTTTTGTCATGACTTACCGTAATAACGTAAATGTTTTGTCATGATTTAATCGTAAATTTTGTCATGATTTCATCGTAAATGTTTTGTAAGACTTCTTCGTATATTTTGTCAAACATGAACGTAAATGTTTTGTCATGATTTAATCGAATGAGTGTAAATGATTTCATATAATTGCTTACCTCGGAAAACCGAGAGAAGAGATTCCATATGAAAATCGCAAGAATTTGGCTCCTGGTTTGAAATATTATTATGTTCATAGACTTCATCGTATATGTTTTGTCAAACATGAGCGTATATGTTTTGTCATGATTTCATCGTATATGCTTTGTCATGATGATTTCATCGAAACTAAAACGTATATGTTTTGTCATGATTTCATCGTACATGTTTTGTCATGATTTCATCGTATATTTGTTGTCAAGATTTCATCGTAATGAGTGTAAATGAACCAAAAATAATGTTTACGTTCATGTTGACAACCAGCAGGGGAAGGCAGTTATGAATTATTTTTGAAGAACTGAGGTGTCACTACGTCACCATGTGTCACTCGGTTAATTAACTTCTCTGAAAAAATGAGACAACATGACATTTTGACAACACAGCAGGGGAAGGCAGTTATGAATTATTTTTTGAAGAACTGAAGGTGTCACTACGTCACCATGTGTCACTCGGTTAATTAACTTCTCTGAAAAAATGGAGACAACATGACATTTTGACAACACAGCAGGGGAAGGCAGTTATGAATTTTTTGAGAACTGAAGGTGTCACTACGTCACCATGTGTCACTCGGTTAATTAACTTCTCTGAAAAAATGAGACAACATGACATTTTGGCAACAACACAGGAAATAAATGTTTACGTATATGTTTTGTCAAGACCTCATCGTATATGTTTTGTCATGATTTCTTCGTATATGTTTTGTCATGACTTCTTCATCGTAATGAGTGTAAATGATCCAAAAATAATGTTTAGGTGAAGAGGTGAGATCTCACCTGTTTTCTCACCTAATTTTTCACCTCAGCCGCTAAGCGCGAGACCCAAAGGTCTTGAATTTTCATGATTTCTTCATCGTAATGAGTGTAAATGATCCAAAAATAATGTTTAGGTGAAGAGGTGAGATCTCACCTCTTTTCTCACCTCTTTTCTCACCTCATTGAATTTCATGATTTCTTCATCGTAATGAGCGTAAAATGTTTTGTCATGATTTCATCGTACATGTTTTGTCAAAACTTCATCGTATATGTTTTGTCAAACATGAGCGTAAATTTTTGTCATGATTTCTTCATCGTACAGTTTTGTCATGATTTCTTCGTATATGTTTTGTCATGATTTCTTCGTATATGTTTTGTCAAACATGAGCGTATATGTTTTGTCAAGACTTCTTCATCGTAATGAGCGTAAATGATTGTCATGATTTCTTCATCGTAATGAGCGTATATGTTTGTCAAACATGAGCGTAAATGTTTTGTCAAAACTTTCTTCGTATATGTTTTGTCATGATTTCTTCATCGTAATGAGCGTATATGTTTTGTCAAACATGAGCGATATTTTTGTCAAGACTTCTTCATCGTAATGAGCGTAAATGATTTGTTCATGATTTCTTCATCGTAATGAGCGTATATGTTTTGTCAAACATGAGCGTAAATGTTTTGTCAAAACTTCTTCGTATATTTTGTGTCATATTTCTTCATCGTAATGAGCGTATATGTTTTGTCAAACATGAGCGTATATGTTTTGTCAAGACTTCTTTCATCGTAATGAGCGTAAATGATTTGTCATGATTTCTTCATCGTAATGAGCGTATATGTTTTGTCAAACATGAGCGTAAATGTTTTGTCAAAACTTCTTCGTATATGTTTTTGTCATGATTCTTCATCTCGTAATGAGCGTATATTTTTGTCAAACATGAGCGTATATGTTTTGTCAAGACTTCTTCATCGTAATGAGCGTAAATGATTTGTCATGATTTCTTCATCGTAATGAGCGTATATGTTTTGTCAAACATGAGCGTAAATGTTTTGTCAAAACTTCTTCGTATATGTTTTGTCATGATTTCTTCATCGTAATGAGCGTATATGTTTTGTCAAACATGAGCGTATATGTTTGTCAAGACTTCTTCATCGTAATGAGCGTAAATGATTTGTCATGATTCTTCATCGTAATGAGCGTATATGTTTTGTCAAACATGAGCGTAAAATGTTTTGTCAAAATCTTCGTATATGTTTTGTCATGATTTCTTCATCGTAATCGAGCGTATATGTTTTGTCAAACATGAGCGTATATGTTTTTTGTCAAGACTTCTTCATCGTAATGAGCGTAAATGATTTGTCATGATTTCTTCATCGTAATGAGCGTATATGTTTTGTCAAACACGTAAATGTTTTGTCAAAACTTCTTCGTAAATGTTTTGTCATGATTTAATCGTACATGTTTTGTCGAAACTTCATCGTATATGTTTTGTCATGATTTCTTCATCGTAATGAGCGTAAATGTTTTTGTCAAACATGAACGTAAATGTTTTGTCAAACTTCTTCATCGTAATGAG